CCCTCCTGAAAGCCCCCCGTTGCAAGGCTTCCCCAAAATGCTGTGGTTCATCCTTGCGTCAGCAATTTTCTGGGTTCTATACCTTATTATCTCCCAGGACTTAGGAAGCCAGAAATGAAAAGGGAGATGAACTAGGAGGCCCAGCTAGGCACTCGTTCCTGCCTACCCTCGGAGGATGACTTTAAAAGAGCTGTGAGGCCGGATCAGACTTAAGGTCCATGTTCTCCACCTTTCTGAGTCATGAAGAGGCCAACCAGATGTGTCCAGGGAATGCCCGTGGTGGGCCAACCGGAGAAGATCACCCTTTTCCACCAGTCCGGGCAATTGGGGTTGAAAGTTTGCTGCTGGGGAATTCAGGAAGGCATCAAAGCCAGTTGTCAGTGATAGTGTTAATCCTCTAAAGGAAGGAAGAAATCTGGCCCTTGGTTAATTGTCAGTGGCTAAAGATAGGACTTAGCATTTTGCCCATAAGCATATAAAGCTGAATTAAAGAAACAGAAGATAGACTTTTTTCAGCAAAGCAAGGTCAGGATATTTTCCTCCCTCCCTCCCTTCTCTCTCTCTCTCCTTCCTTCCTTCTCCCTTCCTTCCTTCCTTCCCTTCCTTCCTCCCAACCAACAGAAGGTGAGCACTCTGTTCCCCTTTGGAGGCCAGTTTTGATCCTCAATTCCAGAAGCTCCTTCGTCACCTGTTTCAAGCGCCAGCATGCTTCAGAAGGGAAGCAAGCTGCTAAGCTGGGTTGGTGGGTTTGGGGTTCTTTTGCTTTTAGAAAACACTTGCAGCCTCTGTCAGGTGGGGCAGGCTGCGTGCCGTGGGGGCTTTCCTCCAGCCCGTTTTCCCTAAACAATGTATATCGTATGCATAGCTGCAGGGCTTCTCTTGAAGAACAATATTTGCAGGTCTTTCTATCAGCAATTTTGCACCAGCTTGTTTGGGGTATCAATAGTTGTGTTTTTGGAGAAGGCTGTGCCTGGAAATCAGATGAACCAAGGAGCATGTTAACAAGGCCCAGGTTTCTCAAGACAGGGTAGCTGTCCAAGACATGTGGGATTGTGAACCAAAAAGCCCTTATTTTAATTGTCAGATTAATCATGCTTAAAGAATCCCTAGTAATTGTAATAGCAGAACGTTAATGCAATTTTATGATGCTACCACAACATTAAAGGTGGCAGAAGACACACTGAATGCCACCAAATGTTTGTAACAGTAGTTTAGGAGACACCACGTAAGCGGATATTCTTCGTCTAATATCTCCTTCTGCAAATTGTTGGCAGTGTTTATAGATCCCTTTCCTAGCACTTCCGGATTCCTGAAGCTTTCCGTGTCTCCTTCCAACAATCTTGCAAGGTAGAGGGTGGATTTGGGGGTGACTCTCTAGCCCACCATGCCAAACTGATGTTCAACCTGTGTTGCTTGCAGCTATGACTTTTCATTGAGCAGTAACTACATGGCTGCAATTTCACACCAACTGGCTTTGTTTTGCAGGATTGGGGTCCCCATTCTCCACCATCCACCCCAGGATATTGTTGTTTTTCTATTTTTGCATTCCAGCAGTGCTTTGCTGCTTAAGCTGCTACAGCTGTAAGGGACGTAGTAAGCAAGGATAGGCATCCAGCCAGGCAACCCAATCTCATGGAAGCCAATTCAGAGCGAGGGCAGGAAACACATGTGGCAAATTACAGCTAGTGCTAAACTTGTTTTCTTTCTCTGTTTTGCAATTGGGCAGTTAGATGAGATGGGTGACATTCTTGGCTGGCCAATACAATCCTGTCTACCTCAAGTGGTGCTTTTAGGTTAGGATTATCAGTCACATATACTGTATAAGGTCGAGCTGTCACACAAGAATGGGCCACATTTCAGAAAAATGAAAGCAAAGCCCTCTTTTGTAATATTTGGAGAGAGATGCAAAACAGGATTGCAAGCATTCCAAATGAGCCCCATAACCATGCCCTCACTCTGAACTGGCTTTACAGAGTTGTCGCATAGCCAGACTTGTCTCGTTATCCTCGATTCCCTAGATCACGTGGCTAACACCCCTTTCCCAGCATCCTTCTATTTTGCAAATACCACTCAAAAACGCTCTTAAAGGGAACATTGCTAGCTGTCAAAAAGAACATACAAAATACGTTTTGGGGCGTTAGGCATGGGAACAGTTCCGAGTGAGTATAGAGAAAACCTTTGAGCTGTCTCAAATTCCCTTTCTTTTCCATCAAAATTGCAATATGGTGGTTGCGACAGAGCATGCCAGGCTTCCGTAAAAACCTCCCTACTGTTCTGAGTCCATTTTCCCATCAAACGCATATTTTGGCACTCGGTTCCCCTCTCCCCGGTGTCCGTCTCCCCCCACCTTGGTCTCAGGTCTTTCTGGCAGGAATTCTAAGCTGAGCAGACGCGTCAACCCCTGTTTCCCCCCTCCACACTTTTGCGAGGGCAGAAAGTTAAAAATTATTCAATATGAGATTCCTGGCCTGGAGGCCAGTACCAGGCAAAGATTTTCACCGTTGTTCTGTTACTTCGCCAAAGCTGAGATAAGACGCTACGCAGTTCCTTGAATAAGTCTCCCCTTCTAGATTCCACCAGAAAGTTCATCTTCTCCCTTCGTCCACCCCCCGATGATACCCCACACTTTTTTCCCCTTCGTTTTGTGAGATGTTCCCCAGCCCTTACGATGAATATTTGGTGTTCACCAGGATGGGGGGGGGGCACTTTAAAGATGCAAATCATTAAACAACCCCATGGCTGATCTCCTTTCCTCCTCCCGTTGGTTGCGTTCACTTCAAAGGCCAAGTAAGTAGCAGATTGATTTATTTTTTAAGCCCGGCTGCCCTTCGCAAGAATTTTGCATTGTTTTCTCTCCCCGAGCGTTGAGAAAACTGGACGAAGGCTGGAGAGAGGACCTGGGAACATACAGCACGCCGGATTCTCGAGCCCAGCCAAACGGAGCCAAATTCCCAGGAATTCCAATTTTTCGCACGCTCCACCTTTCATCTGCAACAAATCACCTGGTGGAGTTTTTTTTCCGGAGTCTTTTGCGGGTATAAAACAATAGCTGTCCAGGGTCAAGGATTGGCCGGAGACGTTGGCACGCATGGATTGTGACTGTCTTCCTGGGTAGAGCGGCCAAGGTAGGAGATTCTTGTTCGTGGAAGAGGAACGGGGCCTTTGCAGAGCCCCAAAACCCACTGAGGACCACCAAAGCTGCAGGTCTTTGAACGGGCCCAAATGGGCCTCCCAGACATGGCACTCTGTTGCCGTTCATCACTCGGGATGCAGCCACTGAAACGGCGGGCGCTGGCCATCAGCGTTGGGGGTAGAGGCGGTCTGGCTGCCATCAGGCCAAACCCCTGGGCCAGGGGATCGAGGCAAGGTAGTTTGGAGACCCCGTAACCATTTTGGGGAGAAAGGGTTAAAACGCCAGAGGTTGTAAAAGAAGGAAAGGCAGATGGAGTGAAGGTTGGGGAGGGGGAGATCTAGGGAGGTTTGCAAAAGAAGGCACATAAAAGTGAAGGAGTGCAGTGCGGCCTAGTGGGTGGATGCCACTTTATTGTCAGGGTTTAATTATCTGAATGCTTATTACAGGTGAATTAACTTGCTTTTGTCCAGGCTGGGTTTGGCGCATAGGACACCCCCTCCATGCCTAGCTCTTACCCGCAGACAGCCAAACCTCTAGGACAGGAGGTGCAAACAGGGTTTCAGCCCCTTCGAGAGGGGGTGACCTTGGTCCGGCCCAGCCTACCTGGCAGGGTTGTGGCAAACGTTGCTTGCTGTTTTGCTGTGGGAATATGCGAGAACTTCTTTTTCCTCCTTTTCCTTACAAGGCGAGGACTGTTTTAAAGAAGTGATGAAAGGCAAAGCCAAGTTAAAACAGATATAGTAATGTGAAGCAAAAGGAAAGAGCGGTTCCCCCCCCCGCCCCCCTCTTAGCAATCTGCATGTGTGAGTTTGGGATCTGAACTTCTCTCCGTTGCACAAGAGGAATGTAGACTTTGCTCAGGGATTCGGCTGTCCTGGTTCGCGTTGCTTTCAGCCTCAGCTCCACCCAAAGCCTGCAAAATGGGCCTAGGAACACTGGCCTACCTCCCAAGGCTGTTGGTTGTACAACCCGGGAGCACTCCCATCGTCTCCTCCTGCCCGCTCTCAGTTCGGAGTCATTGTGGGGACCAAAGCCAAGGGTGGGTGGGGCCAAAGCCCAGGGTGGGAGGAGCAAAGGGCAGGCCATCCCTCCTCGCTCTGAGGTCTCAAGAGGTTGCTTGCCGAAGGGGGTGGATGATGGGAGTTGGAGTCCAAACGCCTCTTCGGAGGCAGGCCGGCTCTGGGGCAGGGAAGCGTCCTGTTCGTGAACTTATCTATGAGAATGAACGGTTTGAGCGGATAACTCTCTGCTTAACGTGCAGGTAGCCAAAAAAGTTTTTTTCTGATTTTTTTTTTAAACTCGCTCTGCTGTTGTATTTAAGAGCATTTCCCGCTACAGATACATCCTTTCTTATTTGTCTCCTAATAATGACGATAATGATAATTAATAACAGTATCACTGACACGTTTCCGCCCATCAGGTCAGTGGTTCTCCAACCTTTGCCCCCACCTGGGTAGGGTGGTGAGTTCATATTAACCCCACCCCCCCACCCCAC